CAAGTAATTATGCATAAGTACAACTTATTAAAGCTCGATGTTTGAATTCGTATAAATAACTGCGGATAAACATAATCAAATAGAGAATGAACATCTCATTTTAAAATATAAAAGATCTAAAATATAATTAGAATAATTATCGAGTTCCAACAAAATAAATAATTATTATCTTTATACAAAATTGTATTATTAAACCAAATATAAATTACTTCGTTATTCTACATAAATTAAATTATAAAAAATTGGATTAAAAAATTACACAAAAAAATGAGGAATTTCAAATAGTTAATTTGCTACTAATATCGATATATTTTTGTCAAATTTTTATGATATCGTCAAACATATATTTTATTCAAAAATAAAAACATCAATCGTTTTCTCAAAATCACATAAAATCACATTATAACATCGACTGAAATAAAGAATGAAACAAAATATTAAAAACACGATAAATTTCGCTGCATTGTACGAGTACGCTTCTAGTATATAATAATCCATTTAAATTTTTTTAATCAATATATTATATTTTTTATATTTTTACCATATTAATTAATACATTATATTATTATAGATTTTTCCGATTATTTTTTAAGATATCATATTTTTACCAAATTAATTAATTCATTATATTATTAAAGATTTTTTCAATTATTTTTTGAGATATCATAATTGAATAACTTTTTAAGATAACATTTTTGGTCATTTTATATTTTTATCAACTAGTTTTGTTAAATATAATTTGTTCATCAACTAACTTATCAACTAGTTTGTCAAACATAACTTTATTGAAATAAAAATTATTTACATGATAAAACAAATATATATATATATATATATATATATATATATATATGAAACTATCATATTATAAAAAATATATATTAAATTTCTAGCATTTAATGGAAAAAATCATAAAAAATATTTTTAAATCAATTCAAATAAATATGTAACATCTTTATGATTTCCATTTAATTTGGTCAAAACATATATTTATTTGACTTTGGGTGATTATGATGATCATAAATGACTTGATATCTTTTTAGAAATTTGTGTTTTCTTCGAATCAATTAAAGTTATACTTTTATATTACATAATTAAGATATACCTTATGATATATAAATCACAAGACTTCAATTCTATTTCAAACTGAGGGTAAAAAGTTAATGCCAACTTTTAATAAAAATAAATTTATATATATATATAGAGGGTGGTTCAAATACTAACCCAATATTTTGTACTAACTTACTAACCCGATCTTGACCGTTCATATGATCATCTAACGGTCCTTATTAAATCAGAGTAAAAAAATAATAAATTAATTAATAATTAGTGAAATGTATATGAACAATAGATTCAGAGGATATTTTTGTCAAAAAAAATATTAACATTGAAAAACTTATACTGTTATTCCCGTATCCTGTAATCAAGCACGAAAAACATATGTATTTGTTCGTGTGTGCAGCAGAAAAACATATGTATTTCCTGTTCATATCAAACACAAAGATGTACGGACGATGTTCAACATGTCAACAACATTCATTGCAGCCATGAAAGCATGTAATTATCGAAGGTAACAACTTTTCATTTAAACGGAAAAAGGAATGATATATGAGCACATACCAATATGAATGGTTTGTTCATTTTCTTCACGTTCGGAATTTGAATTCTGAATGTATTCGCAAGCGCTTTTAGCGTTTTCGTTCTTATTGTCGTCGCTCTGTTTTACTGTATGAACATTCATTTTACTCGAACTATAATGTTATCTTGACAACAGAGACGATATTCGAATTTATACTAAAAACATGTTATATAGAACATATGTAAAAATGTTTAAGATGAACAATTATGAACCATGATGCCATTAGTAAATGATGATCAATTAGTATAATCTTAAGATTTTGTAACTCCCATTTAAAAGATAAGAATATTTGGGAGTTACAAACCATATGCAAATGTTCATATTCTCATTTTCATATGTTTGTTTTTCTCCAGCCCAGGTAGTGCACATATAAGACAAACAACAGCTCTCAACATAGACACAATGCTGCATATATTATAGTTTGATGTCCAGCGTTCAATGTGTTGGGTTTTTCAAGTGGGTATGTATTTCTTCATATATCTTGTTGAGTGTTCATGTTCATTCAAAATGTCTACGCAAATTTTATTGTGAACCTTGATGTCATTAATAAAAGAAGATCATTTAGTATAATTTTAAGATTTGTAACTACCATTTAAATATTTGGGAGTTACATTAGATTGAAAATGACCTAAATACCCCTATCATTAATAAGGGAGTTACATTTGAACCAAACAAAAAGAAGAAATGTGATTGGTTGATGTTGGTTAGCATGGTTAGTACAAAATATTGGGTTAGTATTTGAACCACCCTCTATATATATATATATATATATATATATATATATATGTAGGGTTGAGTTCACGTGAGACCAAGGATTTTTTGTGAGAACCGTAAGACCAATTTATGTTTATTGATCAATTTTATAAGCTAATGATCTAATGGTCTAAAGTTGCATGATTGAGAAGTCTCGTGGCAATTTTGTAGATAAATTTTTGGCTAATTAATGAGAAACAAAGCTTTTACCATAATCATGGCATAAGTAGAACTACATTTGGCAACAATATATTAATGAATGAACATAATATAAGTTTATACATACTAGCATAACAAGCTTATGGAAGAACAGGGTACCTTTAGTGAAGAGAGCCAAGGAGCTGGAGCTGGAGCTGCAGCAGCCGAATCACCACCACCAAGACCGAAGCTACAAAAGAGAGAACCCGCAGACGACGATGACAGCATAAAAGCTGAAATCTATGAAAACGGCACGAACCATCTGGTGTGCCACCAAACCAATCTCTAAAATCCTAAATGCTCCTCCCCAAATCTCTTTATCCTCCTTCAACCTCACTTCCTCCTCGATCTTCTCAGAAAATCTAAACCTGTTGAGTGTTAGCCATCCAATCACAATTGTAACATCAGTCAGCAGGAGGATGTAAAGAGGATTTGACGATATGAAACTCCTCGATTGGACAATATTCCGATGAAGATTAATGTTAGATAGAACTACTAAAAGAGCAATGACGATAGAGCACGAAACACGTGTAGTTTCTGAGGCAATAATGCAGAAATTCAATTCCTTGAGAGAGTAGAGGTTCAGATGAATGCCATGTTGTTTAAGAGAAGACTTTCTGTCACTTGATACTTTGTGAATTCGTGATGTAATACGAGATACTGGTAACTTGCTTCTTGACGAAATAGGGGATAATGGTAAACGTAGAGCTTCTGTATCAGTCCCACATTTGCTCAATGTTGGAACATCTTCAGTTTCCAGGTCACTTGTAGTTTCTCTTGAGAATTCATCATCAACTGAAACAATGAACCAAAAGTTATATCTCTATATAATATATACAAATATCAACATCCTTTATCAAAAGACGAAGAAAAATGAAAATAGATACCAGATTCAAATAAGAAGGCTAAATATTGTGAGAAGGTAAGAAGGAAATGTTATGGGAAGGTTTATATGTGAATCATTGAAAAAATCCATTTAAAGATGCATATGTGAACCTATATGAATAATCTATCACGTTGGCTCAAATATGCATCTTCAAATGGATTCTTTTCAGAATTTTTCGATGATTCACATCTGAACCTTCCCTTCTCACGATATTTAGCTTTCTTATTTGAACCAACCCCTAGATACCTATATCCTTAACATCAAAATAAAAGAGTTCAACATAGAATGAAACAACTTGACCCATGGTGTGCAAGGCTTGGCAAATAGAAGTACTTCAATCTACTCCAGGAAAAATGCAGACTTTCAAACAATCTAATAATGTTAAGCTACACAGTCCCACCAAAAATTGGATTTTTACTGTATAAAAATCTTTATAAAGTTTACCCTATCGTAGGCAGTGTAGTCGTGGTACATTCCTTAATTCAGTCAAAACATCAACTTATAATAATGGTTAATCGCTGGAGTATGACATACACTTTTGTTTTAAAGTATATGAACATATACACGACAAAACTCACACACCCTTCTCAATTCTCACCTTTGATGAGGCTTGAATCCTTGACCTTCAAGGAGGTTGGGATTTACCGACTTACCATTAACCGTTCGAGGTATAGCATACCCTTTTGTTTTAAACTCACACACACTTCTCAGTTCTCACCTTTGGTGAGGCTTGAACCCTTGACCTTCAAGGAAGTCGGGATCTACTGAAAATCAGGGTGCTGCTCCGATCAGTAAAATGACACATATGGCCATAATTACCGATTTCATTTACTAGAATCTCATATTAAAAGGGACATATATGGTTTCAGAAGGGAACCATATGCATGGTATATATAGCATTTGCCATTACGTAATGGGAATATAGTTTAAAACAGATTTTACTGCTATATTGTACCCTTGTTCTACCTTGTTCCCCTTTCTACAAGCACTCAAACTCCGAGTTTTCATGTAAAAGTCAGGCATCTAACAGTCATGCTTGAACAAACGTAAAAATTGTTCTATCCACTGTCGAATCAAGTGTAGGCTCAGGTTCATTTGAGAACCACAAAAAATTTGAGAATCGGAGAACCTGCATATTCATTTATGCATATATAATATCAAAACGTGTATTCCGTCAATGGATATATTCATCAATACATATCTACTATGTATGCAAGTATATATATGCATATACTCACAAAAATGAATGTTCAGGTTATCGGGTTCTCAAAATTTTTGTGCTTATCACATAAACCGCCCCCAACAAGCGTTAACACATAAATAATCCTCATATCTACCACCAGGAACCAGCTGATCTTTATAGTCAACTTTCATGATCATATAAGCCAATATTATGACACTTCTGCTGTTTTAGAACAAACAACTACATTTAGAACTCTGATTTCAAACCTGGTACCAATTAAACCAAGAATAGATACAGATTTTGTTCGTAATTTACCAACAGTTTGATTTACAAAAATTATAGAACCTGCAAACGATTTTAACCTTTGAATAACTCGATATTTAAAATCAAAATCCAGCTCTTCATTTGGGAACGAGACTATCAACTTATGAATGATCATCCATACACGGATACACCTTTACCTCCTATCTATTGTAACCCTTAGATTTATGTCACAATTCAATACATCATCAACAAAATCACGATTTAATAAACAACCATATGATATAATTACCAGTATTGTATCGATTATTAGGCGATGAATTTGTGTGTAAAAGATGAGATGAAGCGGAATCTTCTACGCTATCGACATGAGCGGAATTAATGAACGCGATTCGTTCGAATCCTCTTTCGATAATCCTCCTCCTCCGTTCGCTCTTTCGCTCCATCTCCGGCCACCGCCGTATGGTTTATACGGAAACGCCGTGAAGAAAAAACTGAAGACTACTTCCTGCTTTTTCCCGATTTACATGCAAAACGATCATATACGCTTTGTTCTCGAAAAACTTTACTACGAATGTTAGGAAACGGAAGCGAGGGAAAGTGAATCTTTTTGTTGTGTTTTTCAAATTATTATTATTATTATTATTATTATTATTATTATTATTATTCTTTTTATTATTACTAGTATGGGAACCGCGCGTTGCGCGGTAGTATGAGTGCTTTGATTAATGATTTGATGATTGTCTATATAAATATATATTAATTGTTAATAAAATCATCAACAAATCATATTCAAATAATTTGAAAAAGTTAAATAAAATATAGTTAGTGAAATTTTAATATACACACACATATATATTGAGAGAGAGATTTGTTTAGTAATAAAATTGTAAAATTAAATAAAATGAGTAATAATAACGACGAAAATATTAAGGAATCTGACACAAATTTAAGAATAAAAAATACTCCACATAAAGATATGTCTCCTTCAAAGGATGATGTGCATGTACTATTTTTCATCTTCAACACATACCTTGACTTTAAAAACACAATAGGGAATGGACCGGACCAACCATACGATATGTAAAAAATCACATACCAAACTTAAAGATTTCAAATCCTTATAACCCAATAGATAAAATTATAATGCAATCAAAATCATAACATGAACATACATAAAATTATAATACGACTAAACTTATGATAAGAACATACTTAAAAATATAATCCTATCAAAATCATGATACAAACATACATAACATTCTAATACACTTTAAATTACAAAACAAACTTGCATAAAATCCTTATCTTAGATCATAATAAAAAATTCCCACAACCCAGACTTGAAAAGTTCAAATTTTCATGACTTGATATATAAACGTTAAAGAACTCGAAAACCTGCAAACCAAAAAACGTTCAACATGCATAAGTAAAAATTACAYGGTGAACTTGAACATTTTAAATCTTTACCTAATACATAAGAGTTATAATGCAAACAAAAATCACGATACAAACATAAATAAAATTATAATGCAATCAAAATAATGAAACAAATTAGTATAAATATTTTACCTTATATTGCAACCAAAAAATCAAATATTGAACTTGAAGACTTCTTTTCAAATCTTCATGACATAATGCATAAAAACTATAATGCAACCTGAATAACATAACGATACAAACATACATAAACTTATGGGAGAAGTGAAAAAAAACTATGAAGATTATCAATAGTAAAATAAAAGAAAAACCAAAGAGAAAGAAAATAAATTTAGAGATGTATAATATAGAGATAAAATTTGAGAGGGTGTGAGAGATGAAGATGAATAAATAGTTGTTGTTTATATGTATATAAATAAATGATTGATGGGAAAAGATGAAGGATTTGRAGTTATGTCATTTGAATTAATATAGAAGGAGATGAATGATTTGGAGTTGAATGCAAACATTTAACAAAAAAACATAAATTGACAAAAAAAAATATA